CAAAGTGTATGAGTTGTGAATATTTTATAACAAAAACTCGTTTTTCATTGATTTTGTCAATGAATTGAAATTGATTTTGAAAATCATAACAAAACACAACACTTTTGAAACACATTTCAAGTGTATTTGCATTTGATTTACGCGTTCAGACGTCCACTGATCACAAGACATGACTAAAACCAATGATTTGAATCGTGAGCTCATTCTCGACGAGTTATCGAGTAATAGACCGCTTATTGTCTTCAGTCACCTGTCATTTGATTCCCAAACCACTAATTGTTGTCTTTATTTGATTCAGACTTCGAGCAGAAGAAGGGCGGAGACATTCCCGACCTCTTGAACCAGTATTTGGAAAGTATTGCACAAAATGGAGATCCAATGTATGATACGATCACATAATGACCACACATTGTGTCGCACGTGAAGCCATTGTCACTGATTTGGTTGTGTTTGATGATAGGTTTTCGTGGACTAAATTGCAGCCATTATTGAGGCGTAAACTGGAGGTCGTTATGAATGAGTTCAATCACTTGTGTCCGACCGACCACTTGATCCCATTGCCGAACGTGAAGCCATTCGACTTCTCGGAACTCAAGTCTCAGATATTGGAGGCCATCGATGGGTTCTGTTCGGCGCCGTTCACTATACAGAGGATCTGTGAACTGGCGACCAATCCGTCGAAACACTACAAACGGACGGATAAGTTCATGCGAGGCGTCGAGAAGAACATCCTTGTGGTCACTACTATGGAGCCCCTGTCGGCCAACGGGTCTGACCTCCTCTTAATTCTTGTTCACATCCACTAATAGTTGTCTTTTTAACCGCAGATCTAATACTCAGATGACTTCGAGTTTCAAAAATCTTTTTTCTTCAATGCATTCGTCGTCTAATGCCTTCCAAACGACCGCTTCTTTGAGCACAGCCTCGACCTCCCTGTTAGTCAATGGAATCGCTGACGTCTTGTGTGACAATCAGATGCCTAATGAGTCGAGTCTTAAGAACCTATCATCAGGTCCCGTCTCTCCCACTTCGTTACCATTGTCTCCAACGACAAACTCACCGCCGAATCCACACCAACACAACACTCCTCTGCAGCAATTGGACAGCTTTACTACAGTGTTTGCCACTCCGCCCTCCAACCCATTGTCTGTTGTTTACGAACAATCTTCCAGTTTATCTCTTTTGCCTTCACTTGCATCTGAAGATAATTGTTTGCTTTCGACCACTTCTACTAATATTAAACCAATTGGTACTTCGGGTGACTTCGAGACCAGTACTAACCCAGACTTGGATTCATCGCTCATCAGTTCTACGAGTAGTTCATTGCAAACAAACTCTTTAACAGACATTAATTCAGAAATCAAAAGTGATTTCTCAGAAAACATTACAAATGATGAAATGAATGAAACCAAACGTTTGGAATCAAATGAAACGATCAGTAGTTCTCAAATCAAAGAAGATTTACCACAAACTTCTTGTAATGAGAATAAAGAAATGATTAATAATAATATAAATAGTAATACGAGTGAAGAGAATGTAGTATTGGATGTGAAAGCCGTCACATCGAGTAGCAGTAGTAGTAGTAGTGGTGGTCTCGATAACAATAATACGATTTCAAGTAATTTTGAAAGTAATGACACCATTAAGACAGACACCACTCCCACTCTCGCCGAGACATTCGTTAGTGATATGGCTTCGAGTGATGAGAGCGTGTCATTGGTTCCGGAGGTTACGACACAATCACTAAATAATAATACAATTGAAAGTACGGACAATAACAACGAAATGCGAACCACTGATGAGGAGGAGATGAGTCAACAACCGATGGACTTCTGTGGCTCTAATGCCGTCACAGATAACAATATGGCGGAGATAACGGACTTAAGTGACAAGAATAGTGGCGTAAGCGCTGATTGTAGTAAAATGGACGACACTGTCAGCCATTCGGACCAACCGGAGCCTATGGACGAGGACTAACTTCTCACTGGAAGGCCTACCCTTTTACACAAGTTTTAGAACATTTTTTTATTTTAGAACATTATATATATATATAATAATAATTCATATATAAATTATGAGTTTATATAAACAACTTTCAACTTTCAAACCAATTGTTTGTCCGTTAAATTCTAACTTAAATTAAAAACCCAATGAATTTTCAATGATATTACTCTTAAAATATGTTTTTTGTTCTCAATAAATGTAATGAATTGCTAACAAATCATTATTATTATTATAAATAAAAGTAAATAAACGCGATTATTATTTAAATTCATCAAATTTGTGGATCCGTTACACCCGTCATAATCACAGGTCAAAATGCATCCCTATTTCACAATAAATATATCATATCATTAATACGAGAAAATATTGTCAAACATTGTGTCAATACTTTAAGAGTGTCCTTTTCAAACTTAAAGTTTCCGCACTGGTTGTCCATATTCTCCAGAGAACAGGCCCTTATCACCAGTTCCTCTCCGTTCGTAACTGTTCAATACAAATCAATTACTAGTATTAAAATCACTTTTTTCACATTTATCTCAATGATACTATAAAGTGTAATATTTATCTTTATTTTCTTTAATGATCATAATTTAAAGCATATTTTAAGACTATTATTAGATTTTTGTGTCACTAATTATCTATAAAAAATAATTACTTAATCGTTAACTAAGATTTGTATAAATTATTAATTTGTATGTTCCGTCCAAATAACTGAAAATCAATATTCGTATTAAATATTAACGAGAAGTCTATTTAGAGAGTAAAGCTCTAAATGTCAATTCCTATAGTTATACAGAATTATAGAATATTCGTTATGAGAGACAAATAGTGTTACAAATTATAGATTTGATGCCAATTATGCAAATAATGAATGAATAAATTATAGTTAACCTGTTTTGCCGATAACTTTAACGCAGAATCGTGCGGGAAATACACCAATGTGATTCTGTTTGGGAACCTTGCAATTCTCTATGTATTTAGACATGGCTGGGTGGAAAGGGTCCGCACAGTAAGAATCGGAATTATTACGGGAACTACAGGTGTAGCAACTGATGGACGCGCCAACTGTTGTCATCGAAACAATTATTTGGTCATTAGATTCAGAATTTATATCATTTTAATAATTAATACAAACTTCTTCTGTGGGCTGCAAACGATGAGACAAAACATGAAAATATAATTAAAATAAATAGCTTTAAGCAGATTTTCATATTTTATATCCAATCTCTTGACATTCGTTCAGTTTCTATGCAAAAATATATAAATCACAAGAATGTCAAAATGGGTTTTAGATATTTTTGAGTTATTGAGTTAAAAAATAAATATATTTCTAAAATACAATATATCAAATAGCAAATATATTTCAGAAATCCCATAAAATTATACATTTTTAAATTATAAACTTTAACTCAAGCAAAATAAACAAACCATGCGTGTATAGATTTTATTTAACCATTTACTCTAGTTATTTTGAAATTTAAGTAAATATTTAAACTTTATATAATATTTACTGTAAAGAATAAATCAGAAAACTCTTGTCAACAGTATAGGTTAGCTTGAAATTTAAATTTCATTAAAAAAATATTCACTATATTCTATACCATTTTGGTGGATGTGAAGCAACTTTTATAAGAAAATTTTTATAGCATTTTAGAAATGTTCATATAATTAATTTTAAAAAATTAATTTATTAATTATTCAAAAATATTATTATGCATTATTATGCATATGAAGCATATTTAATAAATATAATATAAGAATTGAGTATACAATTTAATACTGTATATCGCACTAAAACATTAAGATATCGCTATCAAGAAGTATTACCTAGACTGCTTCAAAACAATCTAATCATTTCCAAAATTAATTGCTTTTTAAATGTAAAAACTAAAATTAGCAAATATAAATAAATATAGAGCAAAGAATATATATTGAATATAGAATATATCAATTCTATTTGATGAATAAATTTAATTAATTAGAAAATAACATAAAAATTAATAACTAGAATATCTAATAATAAATGGAAAGCAAAGAATAAGGTTTAAAGACAAGAATTATAAATACCTTTGGCTTAGATTCTTATAACTTGTATTAATATCGAAGAAATAACTTGCATGTGATTACCCTTTGATGGGAACCTAAACATTATTGAACGTTTAAAATAATATTTTCAATGAACACTATTCAAAGATTTTGAATAAATAGCAAAACTAATTAGCAAATGGATTAAATTGATTATAAAGTGATAGAAAAGGGGTTTTCATGGGTATGTGAATATGAGAGCAAATGTGTTGAGTTCGTCCATTGAATGCAACGATAGTCTTGGCTATGAAACAGACATCGCATCATATAATGCAATAAACTTTATTTTTATTGATTATTTGTCCGCATCTTAAGTGATGTACAAAACAGTTGCGCACAAAGTGTTGAAAATATTTCATTTCATTTCACTCTAACTTTAGCTCACTTTCGATCCACTTTTCATACATTTATGCAATTCCTATACAAACCTATTATCATATATTATATAACTTTAATTCCGTTAAAACTAAACAAAACACTTTATTGTCATTTAAATGTTAGGAAAATTATTTTTGTAAACCATTTATCACATCATTGTTTTCTATTAACATCTTATAAAGTCATCGTTTGAATGTTCAAGGAGTTATGAGACCACAGAATATATACCCAAATTTTGGTCACAAAATATTAATGCAATTCAAAAGCCTTTTATTGCTAATTAAATCCGAAATCACGAAAACCGATAAAACAATTATTCAGTTCTCGTAATGAATGTAATGTTTTAATATTCGACTCAATACTCAAACTCTTATCAATTATATCTGAATGAAGGCTTAAATCACAGAATCGCAAAGGGGTTGTCCACATATGGGCACCAACTTTCAAACATCTAAATCATTATTTACAACTTATTTCAGCAGTTTATGTATTATTTAAGAATAAATACATACAAGTTTTTATTATGTATCAAAATTGATGCAAATATTTAATAATTCAAGCAATTCCTTATAAAACTAATACAGAATACTGTATTTCCGATTCTGTATACAATTTGGTTATATTTTTGAGTGTATTTTTAGTTCATTTTATAAATTATATTTTATGTTCATTAAAAAAAATAATCAGAAACAAAAAAAGCATTTAAAGTGATTAATATTTTTTTGAGGATTAATTGCAAAAACAAATGAAAACATAAAATGTTAAACAAAATCACAACTAATTTGACAAAAGTATTGATCGATAAAAACAAGTGAATTGTTGTGGAATTTGTCGGCCGTCTTATACCGACTCTCACTCTCAATGGTTTAAAAGAATATTCTATTCATACAAAACATGACATAATAGAGGGGAAGGAGACACACTCGTGAACATAAAGAGCTACGAATAGGGGGCAGAAGTATGTGGAAAATGGTAGCGTTGTTTGAGTGCGTGATTGACGATTGGCTGCATTTTGTCATTCATTCATATTATTGTCTATTATTTGTAATTCCCATTCAATTGAATACACGCTTTCGTTATTATAAATGATTTAAAAGTTATTTTCATTTTGTTTTGCTTTCAAAATATCATAATTTATTTATTTTCCAATCAATGCATCGATTGTGTTGTCATTCAATTGGATTCAAGTGATTGTCTTCGCAAGTGATGGCATATTAGATGCACTCAAATGAGACACAAATGCATATTTCGGTGACATTTCGGCTAATTTTGTGACAAAAATCAATTGATTTCTGGATTTAATGCTTAAATCAATTGAAACCAAAGACATACGAAAAGCGATTAAAAGTTTATTTAGATTTCAATGTTTTTAATAAAAGTGGAAATTATTAACTAAATCACGAAAACTAAATGCAATTTCTCTTCAAATGTCTTCATCCAAGCGAATGATGGGATCAAACAATACGAATGGCGACGGCATCGACAACTCGAAGACCAATTTGATCATCAATTATCTGCCGCAACAGATGACAGACCAGGACTTCCGCGTACTGTTCGCCCAAATCGGAGACATCCGGTCGGCGAAGATAATCCGCAAGAAGTCGACGGGATATTCGTATGGATTCGGTTTCGTGGACTATCTTCGGCCGGAAGACGCCGAGAGAGCGATTGACTCACTGAACGGACACTTAGTGGAGCACAAGAAGATCAAAGTGGCGTTCGCTCGGCCGTCGACCGACTCCATCAAACAGGCCAACCTCTACGTCAAGAACCTGCCCATCAATTACTCCGATCACGACGTCCGCGAACTCTTCAGTCCTTTCGGGAATATAATTCAGTGCCGACTCGTCGGCAACAGAGGCGTCGCCTTCGTCCTCTACGACCTCCACGAACAGGCCCTCCAAGCCATCGACCAAATCAACGGCAAAGTACTTCCCGGAGCCGGAGCCGGTCTTAACGTGAAGTTCGCCAACGATAACAACCAAAAGGTTTGACTATTAGTTGCAAATGATTTCATATTTTATGCGTTCATTCGTTAGGATATATAACACAACACTAATTGTCTCTCATTTAAGATCTCATAACCGGTAATAAGAGTTAGGTTTATATTACCGGTAATTGAACACTCAATGCATTTGTACAGTTCCTACAGTACAGTAGTCTATATTTTTTGACCTGAACAATATTATTTGATAATTATTATATTTTACTAAAATTTATGGATAAATTAACATTCAATTTAAATAATCATATGGTTATCTTAAATGAATTTCTAAATTCTATACGACATTACACTTATACTGTATTTACAATAAATGTGTAATTGAAAGCACATAAGTTATTGTCATGAGCAGGGACATATTTTGGTTTCAAATATTTTAGTTTTTTATGATAAAAAATGTTAGAATTACTAGAATTAATTTATATTACAGTTAATATACAGTAATATATTATGGTTTTGTATGACATATTCTGCAGTAATTGGAGTAATGACAGTACAGTATGTGATGAGAATACATACAGATTAGGTGATAATGAAACCTTATTAACATTCATTACTAGACTACAGTATACTCTGTAATTGTTTTGTTTGATAAATACTATTTCAACAAAATTGAAAGTTAAAAATAGTTTACATTTTCATACAATTAATGAGAATTTACTAGAAATCATGTGAAAGTGTGAATTGAAACAAACAATTGATTGAATGCTTAATGTTTATAAATAGAGCCGAAATACAAACCACAACCCGAAGAGCAATCGGGGTTCAGGAGGAGGTGGAGGTGGAGGAGGAGGGGGTCTGGTATTAATGTATTAAAGTGTAAATTAATGTTTAATTAATAATTATTAATCATATGTGTTGGCACAAAGGTCTATGCTAAACAAATCAAGGTTATACATTATATTATTCATAAAATTGTATTTATGATTGGCTAATGAATTATTTTAGAATACTATTTACACTTTAATTTATAATTCATTTTAAATCACTTAAGTATATAATGAGACACAAAAAACTAGCGTTGTAACAAACTTAGTAATATGTACAATATTTTAACTGAATTGTAACTTAGTGTGGCTCGGATTAATATGAATGTGCATCGTAGGATATGAATATATTCTTTGAAAAAATGAAAATAAATTTCATAAAATATAACTTACGGTATAATCAATATATAGATTGCCTCGTAATTCAATATTTTTAATGTAATATTTTATATTGTTTTTATACTGTACTTAATATTAAGTTTAATTTATAAAATAAATAATTTATTTATGCTTTAAATGTAAATCAATTAATGATAGGTTAGCCAGAAACTACTATTTTTATAAAGTTTTATCATTTTTTAAATGACATGCAATTTGTTACATAATATATTTCTATAGATGCTTTATAATTTAAATTACCTTTGTGTGAGTCGTATACTTTGACATTTGCTTTGAATTTATTAATATTGTAAATTAAGTATGATATCAAATATACTTGAAATTGCATCAGGTTTCATTTTAAAACTAAACTTATCTATTATAGCAACAATTGAAAATAATATTTAAACAATGTATAATTAACGTCTACTATTATATAACATAATTTACTTTATAAAATAATTTATTAATAAAGTTTATTAATAGAAAAAATTTATAAATCTGATCTTGATCATTTGTGGTTCTAATATTTTTTTTATTAAAAGCAACAAATGCTAAACAGAATAACAAATTATAATTTAAGTTTTTAAAGTTTTTATAAACTGCAATTACATATTTGAATACTTTTTATAGTAAATAAATACTTTTAATAAACTTTTTATAGTAAGTGTATCCAAAACACATTACGATGTAAAGCACTTAAAGGTGATATTAAGTCCCCTGGGTGATATTGGCTGGCAAATACTTGAAATTAATATATAAAAACATATATTGTTTGTTCATTTGGGATATATTTTTATATTAATTTTTATTTTTAAATTTTAACCTCAAGGATACTGTCATAATAGCATTATGAGTTTCCTAAGTTGGCATTTTTGATTTTTTGATTGGAATTGAAAGCCCATTCAATGATGAGTCCGAATATGTAATTTATATTGTCATGTGACCTCGGGTTTGGCCGCAGTGACCACTTTTATCGGCAATATTTTTCATAATAAAGATGGATGTGTAATATATCAATTCAATAGAGAATTTAACACTGATCATGGTAGTTATAATAGAAATATTGTAAGGTTTATATTTAAAGAGGTAATCAGTGTTAAAAGAAATTAATGCTAAAATATTGAATATTTTGAATATAGAAACTGATTTCTAGTCCAGACTGGCGTACGAGCACTTGGTTGCGACGGAGCGTCAAGTGTCTGGATGCCAAGCCTCTGAGACAAATGTTGGATATTAATGACAACTAAAATGAATTGGATTACATGGAGATGTGCTCTAAATGAGAGTTAAGAACAGACTCATTGTATGGCATCGGAGCGTCAAGTGTCTGGATGCCAAGCCTCTGAGACAAATGTTGGATATTAATAACAACTAAAATGAATTGGATTACATGGAGATGTGCTCTAAATGAGAGTTAAGAACAGACTCATTGTATGGCATAGAGAACCATATCTTAAATGAGACTCACCCAAAAGGCCTAACTTGAATAACTAACTGACCAATGGTCATTTGGCTTAATTTAGGTTAGGTTAGGTTGGGTCAAGACACGTCTATCCCACTAATCTAATAAAAAATATATCCATTGGTCAGTTAGTTATTTGAGTTTAGGACTTTCGGTTTTAGGCCTTTTGGGGTAGAACCATCTTAAATAGCAATTATTGAGGTAATTGTGAGAATGGGTGAGTACATTACGTGAGATTACCTTTCATGACATACAGTCCACATGCACTTCATGTGCCCGACGACTACTGAGCACATCTCATATCAGTTCCTATCTTCATATATGATAAGCAATGAGGGGGTAGCGAATTGTCCTGCTGCGCTCAAAGTGTGGCACCGATTGTCTGAGGCGAACGCGGCGGTTGAGGCCAAGGATCGACTTCGAGGCGTCGGTGAGAATGAGAGTCGATGTGTGCGAGAAGTGGTCTGTGATTTAGACCAGAGTTTGGCCAAATGTTGGTATGTGTTGAGGCGACGAATGGGTTGAGTGGACACAAGTGGTGCGCCTGGGGGCTGACCAGGATTTGGGTGTCCAGGGGTCAGGTAGACGGGAGGCATCAAGTATGGCGGTGACTGGTATTCTAAAGGTGTGGTTGTTTGAGGTGAATGGCTTTGCTGTCGGTGTCTACGAACGCGATGGAGAGCCTGTTGGCGAAGTCATAGAGGGCGCCAGTAGTGACTGGGCTTCACATGTAGACTCGGGTGCCGTGGGATCCATCGGGTGAGTTCGACGAATGGGTTGAGTGGACACAAGTGGTGCGCCTGGGGGCTGACCAGGATTTGGGTGTCCAGGGGTCAGGTAGACGGGAGGCATCAAGTATGGCGGTTACCGGTATTCTAAAGGTGTGGTTGTTTGAGGTGAATGGCTTTGCTGTCGGTGTCTACGAACGCGATGGAGAGCCTGTTGGCGAAGTCATAGAGGGCGCCAGTAGTGACTGGGCTTCACATGTAGGGTGAGTGGCTGTTGACTGGGCGTCGATGGGAGCCGTGAGTGAGACATCTTTGAGCCATTGAGTGGGAGTGTTCGGAGAAACTGTCAGAGACTAGGGCCGGCCGTCTTATGGAGACAAGGTCTTCATCGGTGCCGGGAGGGCCAACTTTTGAATCTCGCACCACACAGGTGTTGTTCCCATTGGGGACACCTGCACGTCATCGGCGATTGTGGAGAGGCCGGGTACTAATTCCCTTAAGTTGGCCTGAGCTTTAAGTCCCAGAGCTTCAGTGGCGGTTGTTATTGGCGTGGAGGAGGTCGGGTAGGGTGATGGGTTGGGTACTAAAAAAATATCTATAAATAACGTTTCATATTCAAAATATTCAATATTTTAGCATTTATATTCTTTTAACACTGATTACCTCTTTAAATATAAACCTTACAATATTTCTATTATAACTGCCATGATCAGTGTTAAATTCTCTATTGAATTGATATATCACATATCCATATTTATTATAAAAAATATTCCCGATAAAAGTGGTCACTGCGGCCAAACCCGATGTCACAGGACAATATAAATTGCATATTCGGACTCAGCATTGAATGGGTTTTCAATTCCAATCAACAAATCAAAAATGCCAGCTTAGGCGAATTTCGACAATATTCTTATACACATTGATTAATTACTTATCAAACATGACATTATAATTATAATATAAGGTGAAAAAGAAATTTCCGTGGAATTTTTATCTTATCTTCTCATTTCAAAATGCTGAGTCAGATGACCTTGTGGTTGTTAATTATTGTAGACTAGTTAGTGTAGATTAGAATAAATGGGGTTACATTTTATTGCGTTCATCT